GTGGGTGTGGGTGTGGGTGTGGGTGTGGGTGCGGGTGTGGGTGTGGGTGTGGGTGTGGGTGTGGGTGTGGGTGTGGGTGTGTGTGTGTGTGTGTGTGTCGGTCGATGTCAGGCTGAGTCCGAGCGATAGCTCCGAAAAGCTTTACCGTTGCAAGTATCACCGTGAGTGTTTGTTTTCAGCACAAAAACGTCGACATGCCCCGGCCCAAGATTCGCTAAGTAAGTCGGTCGATCGAAACCCAGATTGATCACTGACCGAAAGATTCGTTTGACCACAGTTTTCCTCCGCCACCGCGCAGTCCACTGACGCTTGTTGACCGAGGTGTGGCCAATTTCCGTGATGTGGCTGATTCGAGCCCCGGTAACCATCCTATTCGGTGCCGTAACGGCAAGGTGCTTCGAAGGGGAATGCTGCTTGGCAGCCGCCGGCAAGTCTTCGTCGCATGGCTCGAGGGGGTGTTCCTCCCAGGCTCTTCCGCTCAGGGCACTTCGCCGCCGCCACGAAGGAAGATCTGGCACCTAGGCAGCTTGTTTCCATTGTCATTCGGAGTCGCCTCTGCCAGTGCCGCAGCCCAGGCTGTGCTGCAAGCACTGCAGCTTCGGACTTACGTGGACCTGCGCGAGGGCCGAGACTTTGAGGGAGCAGATGCGGAGGTGCATCACGTCCTCTTCCCGCCCAGCCCAAGCACAACGGCAAGAGGCGCGCTGACGGGAGACAGATGCAAAGTCAAGCAGCTCGACCATGTCGGCTCATGTCTGGTTTATCCCAGCTCACGAATCGGTACAGCGGCGAAGCCTTTGTGGCCGGGAAGCCAATTGCTGCCGCGGGGGTGGTCGCTTGTGACAGATTGCAAACTCCTCGACTGGCCGGGACGGCAGGGGCGGTGCGTAGGGGAGACCGGATGACTACTGATCAAAATTAAATTGGTTCGCGGAGTCTAGTGCCGGAAAGGGTGCAGTGACCATTCATCCGAAGACACTGCTGTGGCCTCGGGTTGCCATGTGTGGACTTTCAAAAGGACATCAAGTGCCCACGATGGGGCAATTCAGTTTCATTGTTGCAGCGCAGCCGGCAGGCGCACCGCCAGCACCAGTGCCTGCTGGGGGCCGCCGCTTGTGGTGCCCCGTGACCAAGGACCCGGGTTTCTATGCAGTCATCAGTCTTCTCACTCGCAGCTGCAAGCTTCGGACTCGTTTCGACCTCTGGCGGTGGGACTGGCGGTCACAGCATAGGACTTGCGCTTGCGTGGCTCGACTGCCGATGAGAAGCTAAACGCCGTCCCCGAGTCCGACCGCAAGGCTCAAGTACAAGAGAAGACAGAGAGACGGGTGTGGCTGCAACGGATTGAGACGATAGGGATGATGGCGGCCCTAAGGATACTGTCCGATGATAGGCATCGTTCATGATGGTTGTGAAGGCTGACTCTTGCATGGTTTGGGGCACTTGTGAAAGGGCAGAGACTTGGTCTGTTGATCGATACAAGCGCAAAGCAGGCAGGCACGGTGATTTAATCTGTGTTGGTCTTGCGTCAGCCGGGCTGCAGGTAATCTTTTCATTGAGCCAACTCTCAGTCTCTCGCAGTTTCAGTCCATAGTTGTCACTATTCGATTGCAGCTAGACATGTGCTGTGCTATGTACAACCATTAGCTGTTAGCTGGTCGTTTCCACTTCGCTGAGTTTTGGTTGTCATCTTTGATACAGCCGTGTCGCTATTCGCTCTGCAGCCGCTACAGCTTGCCAGTATTGTCGTATTGTCGAGCCTTCCACTCCTCCACTGCCTTCAAGAACTGCATGAGCGTTTCTTCATCTGTGGCAAGGCCATTGCTGGCATTGCTGGATGTTTTCTCCATTCGGGGCTTGGGGGGAGGAGCTCTTCCCGCCCCTCTCTCTTTGCATCTGCAATCGTACAGCCTGACTGGCAGATACAAGTCGGATGATATCGGATGGTGATGATGACGATCATGATGATGACGATGATTGTGATTGTGAGTGCCGGTGGTGGTGGTGGTGGCTGTGGTGGGGATGATGCTTCTGCTCTGAGTCAGGATGCAACTTAGCAATGGTCCGATTCCTTTTGGATCGGTACTTTAAGTTCCAGCCTTTGCTTGGTAATGGCTTGCTGGTTGTGTGGCCAAGGGGCAGAAAGGCTTTGGAACTTTCACGGCTGAAGAAGTTCCTCATGCAATCTTTCACTTCCATGACGGACACAGCCGAGCTGAACGAGGCTACGCTGAGAAGACTTGATGCTTTCTGCGTTGGGAGCTACATAGGTGAAGGGCGAATGCTTTGCCGACCTGTCTCCTCGAGAGCAGAGTGGGGGGGGGCAGCCAGTGCAGCCGGGGGACCCGCCGAGAAGCACCATCGCCCTTTCACTCAGAGCCGCCCATGCGACCTCACCCGAAGTCAGTTATCTGCGAATGAGCAAGTCCTCGAGAGCTTGCACCTGGTGCGTGACCACCTTATGGCTCACCACACTGGCGGGATTGTTCGCAATACTGTCGGCCCTGCGCTCCGTAGCTGGCTTCACCCGGGCGCTATTCTGGACTAGTTGGTGTACCTATGTGTGTGGCAGGGCCTCGCCGCTTCCACTGTGCAAGCGAGGCTGGGTGGGGGCCATCAAGCGACTCGAAACGCAGACTTGTGTATAACTCCAAGATACTTGTTCGCGCAAGAAGGCACGAGCGGGCGAGGTCTGGCTCGTGCTCTACGTACAACTGGGGTTGTTCAATCTACTCGGAGTTTCGGAGGCAAGGGCTCCAGCCCCCGCCTCTGCCTTCGTCACGAAGATGGCATCTTGTGCAAAATTGAAAGGTTATTGCAGAGTCCCCTTTTGCTGCAGACGAGATACAGATGACTGTTTGGAGACGAGGCTTTCTGACTCACTCATTGCTTCCTCCGTTCTTGGATCCTTCTTTCCTTGCCCTGTCCATGTCTTTGCCTTTCTGTGTTTTGAACCGTGACTAGCAGAACAGACGCGCTGATGGCGTTTCAAGCTGTGAGACAATCTGGTGGATGTTGAGCAAAGTTGTCTCGCACTGTTTGTGCTTTCCAAAGATTCTGAGATTCGAAGGCCTTCGTAATCTCGTGATTTCTGCCTTACTTCGTGGGCGAAGATGTTATCGGGTTTGTACTAGCTGTGGAGTTTATTGAACGGCTCCAACAAAATCGCCACATATTCGCAAGGAAGCTATGGGCCCGGATCCAGATATCCAGCCAGAGCTGAAGTCATTGAAATTTGTTCTCGAATTCCAAAAGCTTGAGGGAGGAGGCAGAAAGCAGCGAAGAAGACTAGTGACTAGTGGTGGGGTTGCGAGCGGGCAAGAAACGTGGGCTGCTTCCCTTCGGTTAGGCCTGGACTTCTTGGTGGTTCCAGCGGCTTACACGATGCTTGGCTGCCTTGGCTGTCAATTCTCCGCCCCTACGCACAGACACACAAGCGCACAAGCTCAACCCCCCAATGGAACCCCCAGTGCAGATTTTTTGAAAACAGCATGTTCACAAGCGCATAAAACACACACACACACACACTCGAAACCCAGGCAAACCCTG